AGCCCAGAGCATCGCCAGGGCAAGGATTTCCATGGGCTCCTTCTTCCGAAGGCTGGCTCACAGGTCAAGGGAGGTTCCACACTGTTGTGAGACCAAAGAAAGGATAAGATGAGGTGTCTGACTTCAAGAAGTTTCTAGTGTAGATCATAAGGGCATTAGGACTCATCATGGTATGCTACAGTGTTTGGGAATTTTTTCTAACAAAATTCTAAATGCGTATAACATCATACATATATATATAGTTATATATATATAATTAGATACTTATACTATATAAATATGTAATCAATATATATATATATTTATGTATATAAGATGTGCTCTGGTTGAAGCCAGAGCAAGGGGCCTTTCTTCCACTCCTTCCTCCTTTGGCTCAGGGGCTCTTGAGGCACCACAGGATTCCAGTGCCCTTTGAAGCGGGTTGAAAAGAACTGGCATCATTGAGAAAAAAGGACTTGACTTGATGTCAAAAAACCTCTCCAGAGTGTAAAGTCCTGTGCCCCATTTACCAGCTATATTATCTTTTGCCAGTTATTCCAGCTCAGCATCAGTTTATACATCTGTAAAATGTGGATAAAAATAATGTCTAAATCTTAGAATTGTGGTAAACACTAAATAAGATGATGGATGGAATCCACAAAAAGCCATTAATAGGACTAGGAGAAGTGCCCCTGAGAGTAGAGCTAGTACGATTTGAGCCCAGCTAATCACAGCTACCTGGCAGCAGTCCACCTTAGAAGGTAGACTTTCGATTCAGAACCTGGAGACACGTATCATCAATCCCTCCATATTTCTGACATTTCTTGGTTTTATGATGCTTACCACATTGCTTTGAGGAAATCTTTAGGACAATACAAGTCATCAGGAATTAAGATGAGTCTGGGGCGCCTGGGTGGCTCAGTCATTAAGCGTCTGCCTTCAGCTCAGGTCATGATCCCGGGGTCCTGGGATCGAGCTCCGCAACGGGCTCCCAGCTCCGAGGGAAGCCTGCTTCTCCCTCTGCCCCTCCCCCTGCTTGTGTTCCCTCTCTCGCTGTCTCTCTCCCTCTGTCAAAATATAAATAAAATCTGTAAAAAAAAAAAAAAAAAGGGAAATGAAGGCTCAGCGTATTAAACAACAACTACTACTAATACTCTCTCTTCTTCCTTAGACTCCGGCCCTATGACTGTGACAAGCCGTTCTTTCAGAGCCAGGGCCTTTTGTCGGGGTTGCAGCACTTGTAGGCACACCCAGTGCACAGCCCCACCTTCCGCAAAGCCAGTACAGCTCTTTGGAGTTTCGCTCATGGATATGTGTTATAAAGACAACCTTCCCTACCCAATTCTGGTAGGTCATCTCCTTTGGTCTTCTATAGCCCTCCTGAGGAGGGGACACTCTGAGAGGCCACGTGTCCTCATCCAAATCTATCCTCAAATGGAGTAGTCATTAGACAGCCCCTGGTTTTGGCTGAGAAGCTCTGTTACTGTTATTTCAAGGAACAGAATCTGACTTAGTTCCAGCAGAGTCATGAGGCAAATACAACAGTAAAAGACATTCTTGTCCATTCCACCTGGGTCTTGTTTTTACAAAGACCCACCGAGGCTTATTCAGATCAGTCAAAATGGACTCTGTGTATGTGAGTCTCTGAGAGTCCACCTCATCTTCACACTCTCCCTTCATTGCCTTCCTGCACTCACATGAGTCTCAAGTCTCCTTCAGCGGAGTCTACTCAGTCTAACAACTGCAAACATCTGACACAAGCATAGACTCATCCTCTGGCAAATAGGAATCTGTTAATCCTAACAGAGTATGTCAAATGGAAGCCACAGAGTTTGGCCTGTGTTATCTCAAACTGCTGTAGTGAATTGTCAGTGTGGACATTCACTGAGTATTCGGTGTCTCTGCAAGCACTGTGCGGGATGTAGGGAACGTTCTGCTAGCTATGAAGAAATGTATCATTTTAGCTAGCATGTTACCTGCTACCTACTACCCCAGGTCCTTGCATCACAGGAAATTTAGGGGCTAGCTAGGATTATCATCCTCCGCACTGCCTAAAGGAATCAGAAAAGCCTCAGTACAGGATGCATGTGCCCCAGCTCACACAATAGATAAGTAGCATAATAGACTTCAGATCCATTGGATTCCCTGAGTCCAGCCCTTATTAAGTTTCTACACAGCAGGGAAAGGATATGAAGTTACAGCAAAAGACAATGAAAGACTCATGAGAAGGGAGGGTAATCAGAGAAGGAGAAGAGAGTTTCTGAGCCTGACTTTAAAACAGGGAAGGAAATAGAACAAGTAGGAATGGAGTATACAGTCACTTAAAGAGAAATAAACAAATGGGAAATGAGTATTCCCTAAATAGACTTCCATACTTGGGGAAGAGCATCTATGTAGGGAATAATGAGAAAGAAATGCTAAATTAGGAAACAGACGGTGATTCCCCAAAGGCCTTGAAGCGGAGAAGTTTGATTTAAAAGTGGAAACTCAGTGGACAGGAAAATCTGATTAAAAGAAGTTTTTAAACTGTTTCACTGTATGATTGTAAAATGGATATTTGGGTCAAAACTATATAGAAAGACACTGAAAAAAAGAAACCAATCTAAATTGACTTTACTCCTTCCCACTCTAAAACAGTGTACCATTATATTCCCGTGCTCTTTCAAAATGCAGGCAAGCTTGTGCTCTGCATTTGTGGATATGAGATGCCATATACTTTTCTTTTCTTCCTACAGGATATGCTTTCCTTTATTAATCAAAAAGGGCCCCTCACAGAAGGCATATTCAGCAAATCAGCCAATATAAAATCCTGCATGGTCCTAAAGGAGAAACTAAATTCTGGGGTCAAAGTGAACCCGTACAGCGAATCTGTTCATGTGGTCGCATCCGTCTTAAAGGTAGGGAAGGTTCTACCATTATCCACACACGAGTAACTGAAGCTATGAGGCACACTTTAGTCCTTCAACAAGACTCCTCAAGAACCATAAAGGGCATAATAGATTAAGAACCTGACAAGCTAAAAAACCCTTGAGAAAATCAAAATTTAAGGAAGCTACTTTAGGAGTTAAAAGCCCCATGTATTAGAAATCCTTTGTTTTCACTACACACCGCCCTCCCCACTTTCACTCCTAAAGACTCCATGCAAAATACTAATACTGAAATGACTACTAGTCATGATAATAAATTTCAAAATACGCACCGATACATACACAAAGTTTACCCATGCAAACATCCTCACCGCCCTCCTAATGAAGGCAAACTTTCCAAAAGAAATAGAACAGGGAAAGAATTTAATCCATCCACCTTGGCACTTATGTACAGCTCTGAACAACCCTATGTTAACGTAGTAATGACTACAGTCGTAGAATCTCAGTCACATTTGGTCTTCCCTTGTCCCCCGTTAATGTTCGAAGATGGGATCAATAGCAAAGTCCAGAAATGACTTAGGTAACCACTCCTACACTGCGGTCATAGTGATATCCAGTAGTAATATACATATAGGCATCAGGAGACAGGAGAGGAATGATGATACACTAGGTAGCAAGATGAGTGTTGCCCTCTGTGAGGTGTACACATGGAATCCATTTTCTAGCAAGAGTTAGGAGGTTCTTTCCTGATTCCGTGTTATAAGCACCGACTAGGAAGAGGGTGAGCACTTGTGGGGAGACTGCTTAGACATTTCTAAACTTTTCTCTTCTTGAAGTTGACGGATCTTGGTGGAGAATCAGACTCTGCAACCTTGGCCTTGATACTATCATGGCAAACTAACTGGACAATTGTCCTAAACTAGAAATGAATCTATCCTCAGGACCACAGTGAGTCTGCCATTGGACTCTCGACTTTTAGACAGTTAAGAAAAGGAAGAATGAAGCAATTGTGAGAATAGCTCTCTTCCAGGGAGCACGTATACCCCGAGTGAGAAGACCTAGTTCTTTCCTAATATGTGTGCCAGAGCCCACCTGTTTGTGTTTTGATTGTTTCAGGCCTTTTCTTGCTAGAATTAAGAGCTAGCACTGTGCCTAAAACAAGCAACATGGGTATGTGTATTTCTGTCCAAGAAGCTAATAGGATTTAGGATGGTCTATAGCCAGACGCTGTCAGTTTGTGGTACTTTGCAAAAAAAGCACACATACAAAATAAGTTCCAGATGATACAAGGGAGCTTTATCTTCATTTCCACCACAGGCTAAGCTCTGCTTTTATGCCTCTAAGTTTTAGCGGGAGAAAATCCAAGCACCTGCTCCTGCGTGTGCAAGTCAATGGAGAGTCAGAGCCGAGCTCCGTGTGGGTCCCACTTTGGGTATCTGTGAAGGAGGTGGGGGCTGAACTGAATTTTTTAACTACATATTTTCTCTAGAATATTTCCAATACATATTTTCTATAATATATACACATATTTTTTTTTATCTCCCTAAGGACTTTCTGAGAAATATCCAAGGAAGTATATTTTTATCTGATCTCTATGACAAATGGCTCGGTGTTATTGATCAAGGCAACAAAGAGGAGATGATAACGGCAGCCCGGAGGTAACGATGCATAATTACTCTACTCTGTTCACATCTCCAAATAATACCCAACATACTATGAGGAAAACATTGGCTTACATTTTGCAGCTTTGCCCTCTATAATCATGACCAACGCCAAAGAGTTTCAATTCTTCACGCCCATGGGGGCCAGCTCAGAATAGAGGCACACTTTAGGGCTATTATTGTTCTTCTCCTGATCTTATTAATGTGGACTCCTTGGCCGTTTTACACCTTCTGGATCCATGAAACTGGTAGACAAAATTCCCTGGTCCAAGACAGATCAAGAGCAACAACTGCCAGGGCTATGACCTTAAAAGTCTGTCAGACATTTAACCAACCAGGCAAGTGTGTATCTGGCTCAGGAACTGAATTCAGTGCAACAATTTTGTATACATCCATGCCTGGAACGCTGCTAGAGCGGGTTGTGTGCTAGATATACAAGGATGTATCCTGTTCCCTGTCTCTGTTTTTCCAACCTCCTAAGTGGAATCACTTGCCTAATTTAAAAGTGTGTTTTTCTGACCTTAGGCTTTTAGCCCAGCTGCCAAGAGCAAATGTTGTTCTCTTGCGATACCTTTTTGGAGTGCTATACAACATTGAGCAACATTCGTCATCCAATCAGATGAAAGCTTATAATTTATCCGTTTGTATAGCCCCATGCGTTCTTTACCCACCTGATTCCGAAAGCTTGGAATTGGAAGACAACATGATAAAAAAGGTAATGAGAGGTCTCATTCTTGTCCCCCAGGGGGTAGAATCCCTTCTTTGAACCGGACATGTGCAGTAGTAACTCTGACGGATGGAACTTTGTGAACTGCACATTTTCATTAGGCCCCTGTGGAATGGCAGAGTTCTTTATGCTACTCTGGCGGGGTCTGGAAAGGGGTGTCGTTAAACGGGAAACTCAGAGTGGTCGAGTCACTTCTTCCCTCTCCAGGAGACTAAACCTAGACTGACTAAAAAAGAGATAGAAGAGTCGTGTGATACGATAGAAAAGAACCTGGGCTTTGGAGCTTCACCAGTCAAGGTTCAACTCTCAGCCTAATCCCTGAGGGACTCGTAACCTTGGGCAAAGCCATGGTTTCCTCACTGCACAATGGCGACAACAGCCAGCTCCTCCGGTCATCACTGGCACATCCTGGGTGGTTTGGGCAATATGAGCCCCCATGCCTCCAAACACATTGGCCTTCCTCTGCCAATTGTGGCTCATCTAGAAAAGTACTCGGCTACTATTTCACCTCTGCTACATCATACGGAAACTAGGAAGAGATTCCAGAATATCCTAATAAGATGACAGGTCTTCCCCAAGCTCACCAAGAGAGACAGTATGAGGCAAAGCAATGCGTGAGAATGGACTGAAGTTAGACAGACAGATACATTTTCTCTCCAGCTGTGTGGGTTTTCCTTCACAACCGCACCAAAATCCCTGCTTCCCAACTTTAAGATACTTCTTCATTTAAGAAATGGTTTTAAGTTTTTGTTCATACTTCATTAAGTTTCATAAGATGTTATACATCAGTTACAGCTCAAAACTGGAAACAAAATTTAAAAACAAAAAATAAGTAAACTTTAATAAGGTAGGCTACTTTGAAAATTATCCTAGTTTTATTTATTTTTTGATATGTATTTATTTAAGACATGGAAAGAGAGACCATGAGTGGGGCAGGGGCAGAGGAAGAGGGAGAGGGAGAAGCCCAAGCCGATTCCCCGCTGAACACGGAGCCCAAAGTTAGCTCCATGTGCGGCTGGATCTCACCACCATGACATCGTGATCTGCGCCGAAATCAAGAGTCAGACGCCCAACTGAGGGGCCCAGAAATTTATCCTAGGCTTAAAGATGTAACCACTGATCCCAAAATGTTAGCTCTTAAACTAGGCCACGCATTATAACTTTAGCCCACTGATGAGCAGTATTTTAAAATGTGTATCCAAAGTACACGGGAAAGTATCACTCTTTCTAAGTTATTTCAGAAAGAACTCTGGTTTCTATGTGTTTTTGGGTTTTTTTGTTTTTTCTTTAAACTTTTATTTATTTACTTGACTGAGAGAGACACAGCGAGAGACGGAACACAAGCAGGGGGAGTGGGAGACGGAGAAGCAGGCTTCACGCTGAGCAGGGAGCCTGATGTAGGGCTGATCCCAGCACCCTGGGATTATGACCTGAGCCGAACGCAGACGCTTAACCAACTGAGCCACCCAGGCGCCCCTGGTTTCTACATATTTTTATCAACTCTGAATTTTTCTGAGAAGTCCTTCCCATTTTTTCTTAGATCCAAGGTCTGTATACAAAATGTGATTTATAACTATGCCCTATGGAAAAGAGCACCCCATTCTTGTCTTTTTGTGTTACAGATATGTCTTGTACAATTTCTCATTGAAAATTGCCTCAGGATATTTGGAGAAGACATCACTTCCCTCTTGGGCGAGAACTCAATGAGTCGTGGTAACAGCGAGAAGGCTGCAGGTACCGGGAGTAATTTAATTGGCTTTAGTGAGAAGCAGATAGCAAGGTTACCAGGGGTCATGGGAGATGCTTAGACAGAGCTGTTCTGGAGCCCAGAGCATCGCCAGGGCAAGGATTTCCATGGGCTCCTTCTTCCGAAGGCTGACTTGATGTCAAGAAACCTCTCCAGAGTGTAAAGTCCTGTGCCCCCATTTACCAGCTATGTTACCTTTGATCAGTTTTTCTAGCTCAGCATCAGTTTATTGATCTCTAAAATGTAGATAAAATAATGTCTAAATCTTAGAATTGTGGTAAACACTAAATAAGATGATGGATGGAATCCACAAAAAGCCATTAATAGGACTAGGAGAAGTGCCCCTGAGAGTAGAGCTAGTACGATTTGAGCCTAGCTAATCACAGCTACCTGGCAGCAGTCCACCTTAGAAGGTAGACTTTCGATTCAGAACCTGGAGACACGTATCATCAATCCCTCCATATTTCTGACATTTCTTGGTTTTATGATGCTTACCACATTGCTTTGAGGAAATCTTTAGGAAAATACAAGTCATCAGGAATTAAGATGAGTCTGGGGCGCCTGGGTGGCTCAGTCATTAAGCGTCTGCCTTCAGCTCAGGTCATGATCCCGGGGTCCTGGGATCGAGCCCCGCATCGGCCTCCCTGCTCCGAGGGAAGCCTGCTTCTCCCTCTGCCCCTCCCCCTGTTTGTGTTCCCTCTCTCGTTGTCTCTCTCCCTCTGTCAAAATATAAATAAAATGTGTAAAAAAAAAAAAAAAGGAAAAAGAAGGTTCAGCGTATTAAACAACAACTACTACTACTAGTACTCTCTCTTCTTCCTTAGACTCCGGTCGGAAGACTGTGAAAAGCCATTTTTTCAGAGACAGGGCCTTTTGGTGGGGCTCCGGCACTTCCCAGCACACCCAGTGCACAGCCCCACCTTCCGCAAAGCCAGGACAGCTCTTTGGAGTTTCCCTCATGGATGTGTGTGATAAAGACAACTTGCCCTTCCCAATTCTGGTAGGTCATCTCCTTTTGGTCTTCTACAGCCCTCCTGAGGAGGGGAAACTCTGAGAGGCCACGTGTCCTCATCCAAATCTATCCCCAAATGGAGAAGTCATTAGACAGCCCTTGGCTTTGGCTGAGAAGCTCTGTTACTGTTATTTCAAGGAACAGAATCTGACTTAGGTCCAGCAGAGTCGTGAGGCTAATACAACAGGAAAAGACTTTCTTATCCATTCCACATGGGTCTTGTTTCCACAAAGACCCACCGAAGCCTGTTCAGATCAGTCAAAAAGGACTCTGTGTATGTGAGTCTCTGAGAGTCCACCTCATCTTCACACTCTCCCTTCATTGCCTTCCTGCACTCACATGAGTCTCAAGTCTCCTTCAGTGGAGTCTACTCAGTCTAACAACTGCAAACATCTGACATGAGCATGGACTCATCCTCTGGCAAATAGGAATCTGTTAATCCTAACAGAATATATCAAATGAAAGCCACAGAGTTTGGCCTGTTTTATCTCAAACTGCTGTAGTGAATTGTCAGTGTGGACCTTCACTGAGTATTCGGTGTCTCTGCAAGCACTGTACGGGATGTAGGGAACGTTCTCCTAGCTATGAAGAAATGTATCATATTAGGTACTTTGTTACCTGCTAGCTACTACCCCAGGTCCATGCATCACAGCAAATTTAGGAGCTAGCTAGGATTATCATCCTCCACACTTCCTAACCGATTCAGAAAAGCCTCAGTACAGGATGTATGTGCCCGAGCTCACACAATAGATAAGTAGCATAATAGACTTCAGATCCATTTTATTCCCTGAGTCCAGCCCTTATTAAGATTCTACACAGCAGAGAGAGGACGTGAAGATAGAGCAAAAGAGAATTTAAGACTCATGAGAAGGGAGGGTAATCAGAGAAAGAGAAGAGACTTTCTGGGCCTGACTTTAAAAGAGGGAAGGAAATAGAACAAGTAGGAAAGGAGTATAGAGTCACTTAAAGAAAAATAAACAAATGGGAAATGAGTATTCGCTAAATAGACTTCCATATTTGGGGAAGAGCATCTACATAAGGGAATAATGAGAAAAGAATGGTAAAGTAGGAAACAGATGGTGATTCCGCAAAGGCCTTGAAGCATAGAAGTTTGATTTAAGAGTGGAAACTCAATGGAAAGGAAAATCTGATTAAAAGAACTGTTTAAATTGTTTCAGTGTATGACTGTAAAATGGATATTTGGGTAGAAAGTATATAGAGAGACACTGAAAAAAAAACAATCTAAATCGACTTTGGTCCTTCCCGCTCTAAAACAGTGTACCAGTACATTCCCCTCCTCTTTCAAACCGGAGGCAAGCTTGTGCTCTGCGTTTGTGGATATGAGATGCCATATACTTTGCTTTTCTTCCTACAGGGTATGCTTTCCTTTATTAATGAAAAAGGGCCCCTCACAGAAGGCATATTCAGAAACTCAGCCAATATAAAATCCTGCCATGTCCTAAAGGAAAAACTGAATTCTGGGGTCAAAGTGAACCCATACAACGAATCTGTTCATGTGGTCGCATCCGTCTTAAAGGTAGGGAAGGTTCTAGCAGTATCTACACACGAGTAACTGAAGCTATGACTGGTGTCCTTCATCAAGACTGCTCAAGAACAATAATGGGCATAATAGATTAAGAACCTGACAAGCTGAAAAACGCTTAACAAAAGCAAAATTTAAGGAAGCGACTTTAGGAGTTAAAAGCCCCATGTGTTAGAAATACTTTCTCTTTTCACTACACACCGCCCTCCCCACCTTCACTCCTAAAGACTCCATGCAAAATACTAATACTGAAATGACTACTAGTCATGATAATAAATTTCGAAATACGCACCGATACATACACACAGTTTACCCATGAAAACATCCTCACCCCCCTCCTAATGAAGGCAAACTTTCCCAAAGAAATAGAACAGGGAAAGAATTTAATCCATCCACCTTGGCACTTATGAACAGCTCTGAACAACCCTATGTTAACGTAGTAATGACTACAGTCGTAGAATCTCAGTCACATTTGGTCTTCCCTTGTCCCCCGTTAATGTTCGAAGATGGGATCAATAGCAAGGTCCAGAAATGTCTTAGGTAACCACTCCTACACTGGGGTCATAGTGATATCCAGTAGTAATATACATACAGGCATCAGGAGACAGGAGAAGAATGATGATACACTAGGTAGCAAGATGAGTGTTGCCCTCTGTAAGGTGCACACATGGAATCGATTTTCTAGCAAGAGTTAGGAGGTTCTTTCCTGATTCCGTGTTATAAGCACCGACTAGGAAGAGGGTGAGCACTTGTGGGGAGAGTGCTTAGACATTTCTAAAGTTTTCTCTTCCTGAAGTTGACGGATCTTGGTGGAGAATCAGACTCTGCGACCTTGGCCTTGATAATATCATGGCAAACTAACTGGACAATTGGCCTAAACTAGAAATGAATCTATCCTCAGGACCACAGTGAGTCTGCCATTAGACTCTCGACTTTTAGACAGTTAAGAAAAGGAAGAATGAAGCAATTGTGCGAGTAGCTTTCTTCCAGGGAGCACACATACCCCGAGTGAGAAGACCTAGTTCTTTCCTAATATGTGTGCAAGAGCCCACCTGTTTGTGTTTTGATTGTTTCAGGCCTTTTCTTGCTAGAGTTAAGAGCTAGCACCTTGTCTAAAACAAGCAACATGGGTATGTGTATTTCTGTCCAGGAAGCTAATAGGATTTAGGATGGTCTATAGCCAGACCCTGTCAGTTTGTGGTACTTTACAAAAAAAAAACCACTCACACAAAATAAGTTCCAGATGATAGAAGGGAGCTTTATCTTCATTTCCACCACAGGCTAAGCTCTGCTTTTATGCCTCTAAGTTTTAGCGGGAGAAAATCCAAGCACCTGCTCCTGCGTGTGCAAGTCAATGGAAAGTCAGAGCCGAGCTCCGTGTGGGTCCCAGTTTGGGTATCTGTGAAGGAAGTGGGGGCTGAACTGAATTTTTTAACTACATATTTTCTCTGGAATATTTCCAATACATAGTTTCTATAGTTTATATTTATGTATATATATATATATATTTTTTTTTTTATCTCCCTAAGGATTTTCTTAGAAATATCCACGGAAGTATATTTTTATCTGACCTCTATGACAAATGGCTCGGTGTTATTGATCAAGGCAACAAAGAGGAGAAGATAACTGCAGCCCAGAGGTAATGATGCCATAATTACTCTACTCTGGTCACATCTCCAAAATACAGCCAACATACTATTAGGAAAACATTGGCTTACGTTTTGCAGCTTTGCCCACTATAATCATGACCAACGCCAAAGAGTTTCAATTCTTCACACCCATGGGGCCCAACTTCAGAATAGAGGCACGCTTTAGGGCTATTATTGTTCTTCTCCTGATCTTATTAATCTGGACTCCTTGGCCATTTGACACCTTCTGGATCCTTGAAACTGATAGACAAAATTCCCTGGTTCAAGACACATGCAAGAGCATCAACTGCCAGGGCTATGACCTTAAAAGTCTGTCAAACATTTAACTAACCAGAGAAGTGTTTATCTGGCTCAGGGACTGAATTCAGTGCAACAATTTTGTCTACATTCATGCCTGGAACTCTGCTAGAGCGGGTTGTGTGCTAGATATACAAGGATGTATTCTGTTCCCTGTCTCTGTTTTTCCAACCTCCTAAGTGGAATCACTTGCCTAATTTAAAAGTGTGTTTTTCTGACCTTAGGCTTTTAGCCCAGCTGCCAAGAGCAAATGTTGTTCTCTTGCGATACCTTTTTGGAGTGCTATACAACATTGAGCAACATTCGTCATCCAATCAGATGACAGCTTATAATTTATCCGTTTGTATAGCCCCAAGCGTTCTTTACCCACCTGATTTCGGCACCTTGGAACTGGAAGACAACTTGATAAAAAAGGTAATGAGAGCTCTCATTTTTGTCCCCCAGGGGGTAGAATCCCTACTTTGAACCGGACATGTGCAGTAGTAACTCTGACGGATGGAACTTTGTCAAGTGCACATTTTCATTAGGCCCCTGTGGAGTGGCAGAGTTCTTTAAGCTACTCTGGCGGGGTCTGGGAAGGGGTGTCGTTAAATGGGAAACTCGGAGCAGTCGAGTCACTTCTTCCCCCTCCAGGAGACTAAACACTAGACTGACTAAAGGAGAGAGAGAAGAGTCATGTGATACGATAGAAAAGAACCTGGGCTTTGGAGCTTCACCAGTCAAGGTTCAACTCTCAGCCTAATCCCTGAGGGACTCGTAACCTTGGGCAAAGCCATGGTTTCCTCACTACACAATGGCGACAACAGCCAGCTCCTCTAGTCATCACTGGCACATCCTGGGTGGCTTGGGCAATATGAGCCCCCATGCCTCCAAACACATTGGCCTTCCTCTGCCAATTGTGGCTCATCTAGAAAAGTACTCGGCTACTATTTCACCTCTGCTACGTCATATGGAAACTAGCAAGAGATTCCAGAATATCCTAATAAGATGACAGGTCTTCCCCAAGCTCACCCAGAGAGAGCGAGCATGAGGCAAAGCAATGCGTGAGAAGGGACTGAAGTTAGACAGACAGATACGTTTTCTCTCCTGCTGTGTGGGTTTTCCCTCACAACCCCACCAAAATCCCTGCTTCCCAACTTTATGATACTTCTTCATTTAAGAAATGGTTTTCTTAAGTTGTCATTCATACTTTATAAAGTTTCATAAGATGGTATACATCAGTTACAGCTCAGTAAAACTGAAAACAAAATTTAAAAGCAAAAAATAAGTAAACTTTAATAAGGTAGGCTACTTTGAAAATTATCCTTGTTTTATTTATTTTTTGATATGTATTTATTTGAGAGAGGGAAAGAGAGAGCGTGAGCGGGGCAGGGGCAGAAGAAGAGGGAGAGGGAGAGGGAGAAGCCCAAGCCCATTCCCCGCTGAGCACGGAGCCCAAAGTTGGCTCCATGTGGGGCTGCATCGCACCACCGTGAGATCGTGATCTGCGCCACAATCAAGAGTCAGACGCCCAACTGAGGGGCCCCGAAATTTATCCTAGGCTTAAAGACATAACCACTGATCCCAAAATGTTAGCTCTTAAACTAGGTCACGCATTATAACTTTAGCCCACCGATGGGCAGTATTTTAAAATGTGTACCCAAAGTACACGGGAAAGTATCACTCTAAGTTATTTCTGAGAGAACTCTGGTTTCTATGTGTTTCTGTTTTTTTGTGTTTTTTTTTAAACTTTTATTTATTTACTTGACTGAAAGAGACACAGCGAGAGAGGGAACACAAGCAGGGGGAGTGGGAGAGGGAGAAGCAGGCTTCCCGCTGAGCAGGGAGCCCGATGTAGGGCTGATCCCAGCACCCTGGGATTATGACCTGAGCCGAACGCAGACGCTTAACCGACTGAGCCACCCAGGCGCCCCTGGTTTCTACGTATTTTTATCAACTCTGAATTTTTCTGAGATGTCCTTCCCATTTTTTCTTAGATCCAAGGTCTGTATACAAAATGTGATTTATAACTATGCCCTATGGAAAAGAGCACCCCATTCTTGTCTTTTTGTGTTACAGATTTGTCTTGTACAATTTCTCATTGAAAATTGCCTCAGGATATTTGGAGAAGACATCACTTCCCTCTTGGGCGAGAACTCAATGAGTCGTGGTAACAGCGAGAAGGCTGCAGGTACCGGGAGTATTTTAATTGGCTTTAGTGAGAAGCAGACAGCAAGGTTGCCAGGGGTCATGGGAGATGCTTACACAGAGCTGTTCTGGAGCCCAGAGCATCGCCAGGGCAAGGATTTCCATGGGCTCCTTCTTCCGAAGGCTGGCTCACTGGTCGGGGGAGGTTCCACACTGTTGTGAGACCAAAGAAAGGACAAGATGAGATGTCTGACTTAAAGAAGTTTCTAGTGTAGATCATAAGGGCATTAGGACACTTCATGGTATGCTACAGTGTTTGGGAATTTTTTCTAACAAAATTCTAAATGGGTTCTCTCTCTCTCTCTCTATATATACACATATATATATAACATCATACATATATATGTAGTTATATATATATAATATATAATTAGATACTTATTCTATATAAATATATAATCATAACATATATATTTATGTATATTAGATGTGCTCTGGTTGAATCCAGAGCAAGGGCCTTTCTTCCCCTCCCTCCTCTTTTGGCTCAGGGGCTCTTGAGGCACCACAGGAATCCAGTGCCCTTTGAATCGGGTTGAAAAGAACTGGGCATCATTGAGAAAAAAGGACTTGACTTGATGTCAAACAACCTCTCCAGAGTGTAAATTCCTATGCCCCCATTTCCCAGCTATATTATATTTGGCCAGTTATTCCAGCTCAGCATCAGTTTATTCATCTCTAAAATGTAGGTAAAAATAATGTCTAAATCTTAGAATTGTGGTAAACACTCTATAAGATGATGGATGTAATCCAAGAAAAACCCATTAATAGGAGTAGCAGAAGTGCTCCTGACACCAGAGGTAGTATGATTTGAGCCTAGCTAATCACAGCTACCTGGCA